TGACTACTGAAGTCCCATGTCATTCACACTTTCCTAAGCAGCTGTGCCTCTGCACCAGGCAGCCCACCTGCCTCCCCCAGGGACAGAGGCTTCTGACTGGCCGGCTGTCCTGGCAGAACTCACCCTCGATGTTCCGGCACTTCTGCCGCACCTCATACACCAGCCGCTCTGCGGAGGGGAGGGAAGCCCAGCATCAGAGGCGGCCAGGAAGGCCTCGCCCACTCCTCTGAGTGCGGGCCTCGCCATGCCACTCTCTCCAGAGCCAGGCCAACTACCTCTTGTGCGTTCGTCAATAATCTCCTTGACCTTGGGTTTCTCAGTTGTGCTCTTTCGGGGCTTTTTGGCTGGCGGGGGTGGTGCATAGGCAGCTGCCTCAGGTTCAACCCACATGTCTGTGTAAACTTCTTTGTAGGGGTTCTTCTCCTCTGGACGGGAGAAGCATGCAATGAGGTCATGGTCATTACCAGCTGACGAGGAATCCCAGTTTGCTCTCCTCCCCCAATCTACCTACAATGGGTGGAGCCTGGTGCCCCACCTTTTCCTTGCTCCCACCTCCCTGGTGCCCCCAGGACGATGGGGAGCAGGCTATTCCGAGTCACAGAGCAGCACTGCCCCTACCTTGACCCCAGAGGGGGGAGCCTATGGCCCCTCAGTGGAGGCCATGGCAGCTCTCCCCAGGCATGGCTCTCCCGGGCCCCTGCGTTTACCTTCTGGTGGCTCCAGGCCCTTGGGGCCAGAGGGCTGGAACCCCCCGAGGGCCCACTCGATCATCTGCTTGTTCTGCACCTCCACAGCCTTGGCAGTGTCGCTCTCGTCGTTGTCATGGCACACGGGAAACAGCTTCCCGGCCCGGCTGCTAGCCACCTGGAGGACCACGGGTGTGGGGGCGGACGTCGGGCTGGAGGACAGACTCCCAGCAGAGAAGGGACAGGGAAGGGCCAGACCGAGGGGGAATGTGCAGAGAGGGGGCAAGTAAGGAGGGGACAAAAGGAGTCCACAGGTCCTGGTGCCCAGGACGCCTGTGCCCAGAACTAACATGGACGCTCGGGCCTCTAGGCCAGCGGGCGGTCTGAGGCCCGCAGAGGGCACCCACCTGCAGGACTTCGTAGATGGCCTTGCGGTACATGGGCTGCTTATTGTAGGTGGCCTGGTGGAAAGCGCTGCAGAAGGAGCTCAGCGGCATCAGCTTTTCAACACACACCTGGAGGGACAGCCACCACCCTTGTTTTCCTCCCTCCATGCTCATCAAGCACCCGCCGGGTGCCTGGCTACTGGCAGGGGTTGGGGGCATCAAGACCCGGCCCCTGTCCTTGAGAGAACCCGATGCATCAATAAATAATTACACGACACAAAGGACCTGCATGCAAGTGAGGATGCACTGAAGGCAAGGAATTCTGGGGAAGGGGTTCCCAAAGGCCACAACTCGGCAGGTATCCTAGCTCTCTGAGCCACCAGCACAACCTACTTATCTCTGGGGCTTCTTTCATTCACACACACAGGGCGGGGGGCAAGCAGAACCCACCACTGCCACCCCCGTGCCAGACTGTGCCACCAGCCAAAACTGCAGGCCCTGGGACCAAGACCCCTCCCCCCGCCAGGCTACCGCCAAACCCCGAGACTCACCACTGAGAACTTGCCGTCTCCGAACCACATGACCCAGCGGGTGCCTTCGGCGGCGCGACTCCGGCCCGTCATCCACCAAGACACGATGCGGCCTGGCCACCAGGAGAAGCCCCGCAGTTTCCCCCACACCAGCTCCCCAATGCCAAAGCCCCGGCCGTCCTAGAGCCCCAAGGAGCACAAGTCATTACACAGCGGTCACGAGGCCCTGCCACCCGGATCCCCCCCACAGCAACCCAGCCCTGGGCATCTGAGGGTCAGGACAGCCAAAGGGGAGCTCCATCCGAATGGATCAAAACAGAGTAACACCAGGGAGAGGAAGACGCCCGGGATCCAGTGGAGAGAGGAGAGCAGGCTACCGGGGGCTGGCAGCGGACGGACCCAAGACAGAGCTGGTCGAGGCAGATGAGGAAGCAAGCCGCTCACCTCGTACTCTGGTTCATCATCCGCTGATTTGGTGGCATTCTTGTCCCCAGTATCAGCCCCCACAGGCTCAGGCGTGGTGGCCACAGTGGGCGACGCAGGGTCGGTGGGCTGCTGTACTGAGGGAGGGCTGGCTTCCTCTACCTTCTGAGAGTCGCCGGACCCCTGGTTCTCTTCCACGGCGTTCATCACTGCAATCACCTTGGCTTTCTTCTCAGCCTGGGGGAACAAGGAACAGAAGTTACCTTGACCTCTCCGGGACTCAGCAAGGCCACCTCAAACTTAGGGTGCTCTTCACAATCTCTGTGTGGTCTGGAGACAGTGACGGGAGGTAAAGGGCCGGAGAGAGTTCTTCCCTCATCAACGCAACTGGCCTGCCATGAAAACAGAAAGACTTAAAGGTGAGAGGTGAACTCCGATCCCCTGGCTCACTTCTGGCCGCCTCTCCCGCCCTGCAGGGACACCTTGCTCCCTCATCTCATTTTTCCCGATCTGTTGCCGCTAGCGCTTGCCCACCCCCTGACACAGAAAGGTTAACTCGAGTCAGACACAAATCGTGCACCTTCACTCAGGCACGTCCTTGGCTCCATCCTCTCCTCTCCTGTTTCCCAATCAAGAACCAGACCCTCTCATCTGTTTCCCATGAATTTCCTGGGCAATCGGAAACATCCACGTGGCTTCCAGACCGACCACCGCTCCAGCTTTGTCGTGATGTTTACTGGTGATGAAAATCACCGCTGTGTTTACAGCGTGCCTCCTTCCCCATCTGCCTAAACAGCGCAGAGAAGCCTGGAGGAGCTTGCCTGCCCGCGCCGTGCAGAAAGGCACACAGAACAGAAGGGGTGAACCTGTGAACCTCTCAGACCCATCCGCACATACGTTATTCTTGCAACAACTGCTCACTGAGCACAGACATCCTCTCGGCCACCCCATGACAAACTCGCCTGGGCCCCAGCACTGTGGCAGCGGGACAGCACCTCCCTCCCGCCTCCCGTTTCAGCCTCCTCTGCCTCACACCCTGCTCCAGGATTCCCATCCCCCCACAGAGGACAGCGAAATCCTTGGTGCTTAGCTCTGAAGGCTGTTCCACCCCACCTTATCCCCGCTACTGAATCTAGAACGTGTGGCCCTCAAACTTCAAGGCCTTACACCCGTTTCCACCACCCCAGACTCAGAGAGAAAAAAATCCCACCCTTGACACGCCTCTCAACATGAAGCTTTCCCCCAGAGCTTAGAGCTAAGGGTGTAAACCCATCCTGCAGATGAAAACAGAGCACCAGAAAGCAACCTGGAGCACGAGAGCTCCATGGTGGAAGCCCAAGCATCTACCTCCCTGTCTTAGCTCTGCGACTCATGAGCAGCTGACTCTGGAGCAGCCCCTCCTCTGCTGAGCTGCTCCAGCCTAAAACGGCATTTGAACGAAGGATTTCTGTTAACCGTTTCCAAAGTAAAAGAATCTGATGCCTGTGTGTTTCGAGACTTCCACGGGTGATCCGAAGCCCGTCAACGGACCTCCAGATCCCAGAGTGCCAAGTTAAAGAACCTTGGTTTTAAACTCAATAGTCTACTCTCTTGTAAATTCATTTCATTCATTCTTTAAGTCTTTGTTCCGGGACCAATCGGTTTCCTGTAGCAATCCCTAAAACACTAAGGATGGAAGTCCTAGTTCTTTCTCTGACTCAGCCAGTTCTAAAATGGGATAATTCATCCCCTGCCCCCAGCCCACAAACAGCTGGGAGGATGAGGTGGAAGAATGCGTAGTAACTACTCCTCCCAACCGAGCCCCACTCATACCTGCCAGGACTTTGCCCTCCCCTCCTACTATCAATTACCCACCACCTCCTCCCCCACAAGGAGGTAGGCGGCCTAGGGAGGTAGGCACGGAACCCCAGGGAGGAGGAAGATGCCCTTCTGGAATCCTCAGCTGGGGCAGCCCTAACCGAGTGCACCAGACTGGGGCAGATCAATGCCCTGCCTAGCTATTTCTGCTCCCTTCCCTCCACCCTGCCACTTCCAACATCAGGTTTGATGACCGACCTGGACCAGGGTGCTGTCTCGAGTGACCCAAAGACCCCATCGGAAGTGACAAGGCCCCTCCGGCCAGAACCAGACGTGCAGTTAGCAGAGGGCAGGAGAAAAAGAAGGGCCTCCTGTGGGAAGGAGCTTCAGTCAGGTCCACATCAAACAGCAGTGGGTGGGTGGGCGGTGGACGCCCCAGACCTAGAATCCAGTCGTGCCTGACACTACCCTCCGTCCTCCCTCACAGCCCTTTGTCTCTCCCCTCCACCCTCCACAGCCAGTTCCTGAACATTATTCTTCCCCCACAACTTCCTCCTGCTTGTCAGATGCTGCTGCTGACGGCTATTAAGTACAGCCAACCCACTAGGTGCAGGAGAGCACGCACCCAAAACAGTCACTGGCAGACGAAACAGTTTTTGGCAGACGGAGGTGAAGGAAGGGGGCCTCCATCGTGACAAAACCAGCGGGGGTGGGGGGAGGAAGACGAGGTGGGTTAGCAGCAGGAGGCAAGAGAAAGGGGAGGAAGGGGCAAGGACGGTGGCTGGGTGGGGGAGGGGCCTCCTCATCGCAGGAGCCTGCCCAGGGCAGTGAGGGAATGCCGGTGCGTTCACTCTCACCCTCCTCCCGAGCAAACAATAGCAGACAGAAGGGTTAACTCAGCCTTGGCATTTGGGCTAAAGGCTCCTAACCTCAGACCAGAAGACAACACTCCAGGGTGGCCAAGAGATTGGCCAAAATCAGGGAGACACTACACTACGCCCCCCACCACTGCAGCTCAGGGAAGCCACTTTGCCCGGAGTTTGTCCAGCCTGGAAAGCCACTGGTAACGCCGCTCTGGTAGAGGCCGGGCCTCCCAGTCCAGTCCCACTTCCACCTCCCTCTGCACTCAGGCCGCTTCCTGTTCCAAAGGTCAGAGGTCCAGACACCCACGCGGACTCCCCACTGGTGCAATGGATCCTGGGCTGACCCAGGCGCCTCTCCCATCACAGGCTGTCCCCCTCTCCAAGGCTCCTGCTGACGAGCCACGGCCCCTGTCAGGACTGCACGGCTCCCTCCATCCCCAGCACCACTTCTTCCTGGTAGCCCGCCCGGTGGCTTCCACGGACACGCAGGAGAGGAGACTACTCCTCCCAAGAGGCCACAAGGTTGGCACAGCCTGAGGACAGCATGGTCCACCAGCCAGAGCACAGGTCAACGCGGAAACGCCGACACCCCAGCTGCCGGCCAGCTCAGCAAAGTGCTGTTTCCAGCCCGACTCCTGGGCTCCCAGCACCCCTGCCCAGGGCCTGCTCCCCAGCCCTCACTGACCACTGCCCTGAGCTCTGGGCAGGGCTGCTCTCCCTGGCCCCTGACCAGCCAGGTCCCACCTGAGCACAGGGAGGAGTGGGACTTGGGGCTCCTTAGGAGACAGTGGGATAGGACAGGAGTTACTCAGCATCTCCAGAACTCGGGCCAGGGAGGCGTACTTGACTCTTCTCAGCCAGGAGGGCTGCAGCGGCTCAGAGGTCCCCCTGTCGGCCCTGCCGCCTTCCCGCCCCCAGCCCCCCAGGGCTCTGTCCAGGAACCTACCCATAAGGCCAGGTGCAGCCCCTCCGAGGTCCGGCTCAGGTGTGAGCCCCGGCCCTGGAGCTCTGTAAGTAGCTGCCCGTCTGGGGGGAGGGGAAGGGGGTGATGGGGCTGGGGGCGGAGGGGGCCAGAGAGAGGGGGAGGGGGGAGGTGGGGGGGAGGGCTTGAACATTTTCTTTGTCTAGAACTCCAGGTCACGTGGGCCCCGCTGGACTGCCTGGTTGGCTGCGAGCGGGCCGGGGGAGGGGGCCGGCCCTCCGACGCTGGCAGTGGGCCAGCCCCTCTCCTTCGGGCCGGGGGGCGTGGGGGCCGGGGGCGCGGTGGGGCCCTGCGGGTTCCCAGGGCCGGGCAGGGCCGGGCCGCAGGCGGTGCCCGCCCCCTCTTCCCCAACTCGGCAGGAGCTCTGCGCTGTCCGGAGCGAGCGGGGAGCCCCCAGGGGCACCGCCGGAAGGAGGGCGTTCGGGCCCGGACCGCTCTCTATCCAGGTACAGAGGTAAGCCGCGAGCGTAGCTAAAGGAGAAATGAGCTTCCGGACAGTCAGAAAAGTTGTTAAAAGTTGAGTCTCAGAAGCATACCCAAATAAAAAGAAAGAGAAAGGAAAAGGTTACGGATGAGTGAAGAAGCCCAAGAAGCTGCAGGAAAACTCTAAGCTCACAGAGACAGACCGAAGATGCCACACAGAACTGGGAACACTCCAGAACAAGAAGTGGGTGGGGGGTGGGGGGGCACTCCCTTCCCTCTACAGGCGGATGGAGAGAGGTGCGGTGAAAAGCTAGCTGCGGAGTTCAGTCTTTCAAAACCTCTTCCTAGCCAAGTCTCTGGGTTCCACAGGTCACTTTGGGTCGGCCTTGATTTTCCGGCTTTTCTTCTGCAAGATTTGGGGGGGGGGGGGCACTCGTTCAAAAGTAGGATAGCCTCTACTTACTGGGGGGAGGGGTAGAACTGGGTCCAAGACCCCCTCCCAGTAGGTGCCTGAAACTGCGGGTAGTCCCCAACGCTATATATGCTTTTTACTATACGTACACACCTATGATGAAGTTCATTAATTAGGCACAGTAAGGGATTAGCAACTAATAAAATAGACTAATTATAGCAATATACTGTAATACCACTGCACTCACCTACTTTCCTTGTGGCAATGTGAGCTGATGAAATGCCAACACAGTGAGGTGAAGTGAGGTGTGTGACCAAGCACTGCCAACTACTGTTAGGCTACTTTGGCCCTTCTGACCACCTGTCAGAAGGAGGGTCGGTCATCTGTGTTGGGTGACCCTGGACCATCAAGCTATTAGGATGCAGATGGTTGGGGAAATTCATTAATTCCAGACTGTGGTTGTCCTCGGGTAACTGAAATGCGGAAAGCCAAACTGCAGACAAGAACTACTGGGTAACAGTCCCTTCATTCCCAATCACATATATGCAGCGCGACCCCCATTCCTCGTCTCCAGGCGCCTCCAGGGGGAGCCTAGAGGTAGGTACAGCTTCCACCACTGCAAGCTCCCTCCTTCTCCGCAGGGGCCCCAAGGAGAATAGTCACAAAAGGAATGGGCAGATTCAACTAGACTTTGAAAGATAGGAAAAAGCCATTGAAAAGCGAAAGCCTGCAAAGACAGCTGTATCACCAAGCCCGAGGGATCTGGATGGCCTGGAAGCCAACAAACCATGGATAGATGATGATAAATGAGGTTAGAGAGGTCAGTGCGGAGCCCAGACTGGGCCTGGAGAAGGGATTAGGTTTGGAATGACGTAGGGTGGGTGAGGAATAAGAGATGTTAGTTTGGGGAGGGGGTAACTCATGGCTCACCTCCCACCCCCAACACAAATAAAGCTAAATGGTGCAGAGGAAGGTGCCGATAGCGAGATGCTATAGCAGTGAAGACTAATTGCAGGTTTCCTGACAAGAGGAGATGAACGGGTGGTTTGGAAAGATGAGCCTGGTTTCAGTTTGCAAGATGAATTAGAAAGAGCAGCGGAACCAAAGGCAAACACTCCTAAGGGGAAGGCTGGTAGGCCAGTGGCACTGGTTAGAAGACCTGGACATGGGTTCTGCTTCCAGTGTCATGACCCCGAACAAGCCACTTAACCCCAAGAAGTCTGCTTTCTCATTTGCAATACAGGAGCAATGGCACCTGCCCTGCCAGGCCCTGGAAACCCAGCACCACTTAAGGACCACCTAACGCCCTAGGTGCCTGGCCTCCTGCCACCGTCAGCAGGAACACGTTGGCCCGAACCGGTGCTGACGGGGCGCAGTCGAGAGATGTGCTGTGAAGGACAACCCACCATCTCTCCTGGGGCTCAGCACCCTTCCGAGCCAGCAAACACCAAGAAAGAGGAAGGAGGACTCCAAATCAGAACACCTTCTCCAAATAATTCTTGGGGAATACGGACCACCCTTTCACAACTCCAAGTGAGACCCAGAATCCACACAGCATGAAGGAGCCATTCGAGAAAAACACAGGCCCTTCTCTCTCCCAGCCCCTCTCTCCACCCAGTCACAGGATCTGTTTGGTACAGTTTTTCAGGAGAGTCCCTGAGAACCCCAAGTTTATGCCTCTTGCCTGCTCCCACCCTTTATACGACACAGTAGACTTCCTAGGCTGCCTCTCTCCCCGATGCCTCCCCGGCACCTGGGCCCCGTCAACAAGGCCGCTTCACAGGCCTCACCACAGGCCTCCTCTCAAACCTGATCTGGCTCGCCTGGCTTTCTAGTAAGTAACTGACACTCCATCTCACGCCCCTCCTTTTCCATTAGACTAGATGGCTAAACACCTTCACCTCTACACTCTGCTGGTCTTGGAACTTCTTCAGCCAGGACTCAAAGTGTCAGATCGGGCCACAGCCATCAGCTTCACTTTCTCGGCCAACTTACAGTAGCCTCTCTCACTCAGCTCCCATCTTAAGCAAAAAAAAAAAAAAGCCCGAACTCAGAGCTATCCCCTCGCCATCCTAGGGTGCGACCCCTCTCTTGTAGCTGCCAGACAGGAGAGGCCGCCCTTTTCTAGCCTCTCAGGGATGCCTGCCTTTGTGCTCTGTGGGCAGAGGCAAACCCCAAAGCAGAAAAGACGCCACAACCTAGGGCGAGAGTGCCTTTAGCAGAAGATCAGGGAACAAACCAGGAGAGTCTTCAAGGATCCTCAGGTCCCATATGTCCCCTGCCTTCCAGAGTGACCCACCCAGCATGATCACCAGGACAGGTCTCGTGACTGAGATAAAGATTCAGTCAACCTGAAAAAGCAGAGTCTCCTGAAACAGTCAGGTTCTCGGACATGTTAGGAGAGGGGCGTGGAAAGGAGGACTCCTGGACGAAAAGAAGATCCGGTGTGTGTCGAGAGCCTGAAAGAAGTGTTGGAGGGGGAGGGTCCAGCCAGCACGGCCGAAGGAGAGGCAGGCCGAAGGCGGTGGTGACCCGCTAGGCCTGATGAGAATGCTGCTCAAGGGCACCTGGTGCGCTCAGCCCCGAGCCTGTATCCATCAAGCAAACTTCTGATTTTAATTACATTTTCCAGTGACTCAGATACCAGTCAACTGCCAGAACACAGCAGGACAAGTACGAGGACCTGTGTGGCAAGAATGTGCCCTGTGATGAGTTGGGAAATTTACCATTCTGGTACACGTCACTCTCCGTGTTTCCCAAGAGTGTGATCATGATGTGCTGTTAATCATGACTCTCCAACTCACAGAGTTAAGATGAGACCCAAGGCCGAGATTCCCTGCCTCCCACCCCACACCGAAGGGCGGTCACTTGCACAGACAGGTCCAGGTGGGAATGCCATGCCAGCCTGGCTGGTTTCAACTCCAAGTTCAGCATTCAGCTCATGCTCTGTCAAAATCCAGGGCCTACAGGACGAAGGGAGGTTATCTTGTTTCCATCAAACAGGACATTTACCACCTGAGACCCTTTCCTCAAAATCAGAGAAGCCACAATCCCCAGGAAGCCATCTGCCAAGTCGCACGTTGGGAAGACACTCTGTTCCGCCACACCAACGCTCCCGCTGACCTCCAGGCCAGGAGGCCTCATCCAGACAAAAGAGCACGAGGTGAATATGGACGTCTATTCGGATCCGGTCCTCCCACCTACAGCTCAACAGCCTCAGGGCTACACTCATGCCCTCTGACTGCCTGCTAATGACATCAATACTGCGTGGCACTCCAGGCCCCCACAATCCGCAGGCAGCACTTACGTCATGCACCCCACACTCTGTCTGCCTACTTGCTAGTCCCCAAATGTGTGTGGGGGGTTGGTGCCTTTGCTCATGCTTTCCTTGCCCTTCCCCTTCCCCTCCCACCAGCCCAAATCCTACCTCCCCATCCTTCTGGCCCAGTTCACCAATTATGTCCGCCATGAAAGTTTCTGTAGACTTGAACTGTCCAAGAAGGTAGCCCCTGGCTGCATGTGCTATTTAAATTAAACACAAATAGCCCTGGCTGGTGTGGCCCAGTGCATTGAGCGCCAGAGTGCAAAGTGAAAAGTCGCTAGTTCGATTCCCAGTCAGAGCACATGCCTGGGTTTCGGGCCAGGTCCCCAGTAGGGGCACACGAGAGGCAGCCACACACTGACATTTCTCTCTCTTTCTCCTTGCCTTCCCTTCTCTCAAAGTAAATAAATAAAATCTAAAAAAAAAAAACAATTAAAAAGAATTCTGTTCTTCAGTTGCACCAACCACATCCCAAGTGCCCATAAGCCACCTGGGGATAGGGGCTCCTGTACCGGGTGGCAGAGAGTTTAGAACATCTCTGTCACTGCAGAAGGCTCTACCTGACAATGCTGCTCCGTGTTCTCACCCTCGCCTTCCCCCATGGAAAGGTCATCCTGCCCCTCCCCCTCCATGTTCCCGCAGCACTTCGGAGCCCTCTGGCGGCACCTGCCAACCTGGGCCCATGCTAAGGTGTACTCAGCTTTCTCCTTCACAAGGTTAAAATCTGGAGGGTAGGAACTGGGTCTTGCTCAGCTTTACATGGAAGCAGTGTGCACCAGAACTCCCTGCACATCGTAGAGAATTAAAACAGTGTTTGCTGAACTGAAACCAATGTCGTCGCAGAAGCCTCACCCGGAAGCCACTGCCCAAGTTCCCAGTGGGGGACAGATACTTTCCATAGCAAAGTTCTGAGGGTGCTAAGAGGGCCAGGTCTAGGATACCCCAAAGAGGTGAGAACCTTTGTTTTCCCATTTCCCCACGGTCCACATGGAAGTTGCAAGCAAATGACCAGGACTAGGCTGCTGGCAGTGAAGCTAAAAATAGCGACAAGCCAACAGCAAGGAGTTGGCAAGACTTGTTGCTAGGGAGACCAGTCACAGAGAGAGCAACTAAGCAGGGAGAAGTGTCAGACCTGCTCAGGGAGAGCAGAGGCCATGGTGGGGGCGACTTGAAGTTGACAGGGGTCCAAGGCTCCCACCTAGAGATGTTCTGCCTGCTGGCAGCTCCTGACTAATGCTTTAAGTGGGGCAAATGTTTCCCCTGTCCCTCAGTAACCCATCTCCATGGAAACCACCATGACTGGGGTGAAGTACCAGCCCCTGGAAGGAAGGCCTCTGCCTGGAGCTGGTTGTTATGGCAACATTCCCCCTTTTCGGTCATTCTCTCTCTCCTGGCTTCTCCTGTGGCGGAAAGGTGGGGGCCTGGTCTGGGCTTGGCCAGCATGACCAGGAAACATCGGCTTTCTGACAAGAGTAACCTGCAAGGGGATCTTCAGAAGCTCCTGGGAACCCGGTCCGTTCTCAGCACAGGGCAGAGCTGCTTTTCTTCCCATAAGGGCCTCACACATCATCTTGCCAGAAGAATCCCAAACTCCCTCAGGTTTACATGTATCACGATCACCCAAGGAGGTTTAAAACCATACGGATTCCTTGGCTCTCTCTCCTACAGAGAGCAGCAGGCTTGGGGTAGGGCCCAGGAACCTATTAAAACCTCCCTAGGTAATTCAGCTACTGACCAGGTATGGACACCACTAAATGCCTTGGCTGTTTCTGTTACAATGAGGGGACTGAGGCCTAGAGGGATGGAGGCCACCAGAAGGCTCGGAGCCTTTAATTGGAGAGGAAGTGGTCTGGGATGAGGAGGTGCAGGCAGAGGGAGATGAGACCGGCTCAGTGCACATGCCTGAGGCGAAGCCCCATCTCCTAGGCCTTTCCTTTCAGGCCCCCTTCAAGCCAGAACATGCTGTCCTCTGGTCCTGGGTCCTGATTCAAACCGAGCCATCCACAAGCTGCCACCACGGCAGAGAGTGTGAGGTAATGGGGTTGGGCAGTCCAGTTCCTAGAACGGTGGCAGCCCAGGCAGAGGATCTGGGCTGAAAGAGAAATCCATCCTCTTTTGGAGGAAAAGCCAAAGGGTCACCATGGCAACCTGCCGTGTGCCGGCTTAGGATGCGTGGGCTCCGTGCCACCACCCCAAACGTGGGCCCAGGAGAGGTGCAGCATTTCTGCAAACACCAAGGGGCAACCACCTTGCCAGCAGAGTCTTAGAACCTGAAGAGGCTGTGTTCTACCTGGCAGCACACCTCTGACCCCGCCTGGACCACACCCAAACACTAGGATCCAGGAGCCCTAGGCCTCCCGAGCACCTGACTGAGCCGGGGTGGGGGAGGACACTGTGGGGGTGGAGGGTCCGGTGGAGGAGATGGGCCTCCACCTTTCTGTGACTCGCAGCCTAATCGTGTGCCCAAGACCCCTCACACATGGAAGCACGGCCCTCATTCAGGACAGCGTGCAATCAGACAGTAAGTGACGTGGCTGAGGCTTCCTCCTCACAAGGAAGGAAAGTCAGGGAGGCCAGGATCAGCAAAGGCAGTAAGACTCCAGGGAGAGAGACGGAGAGCTGGGAACGGTGCGGCCCCCCAGGTTTCTCAGACAGGAATGGCCAGGTCTCTGGGGGAGTCTGCAATGGCATCTGCTTCCTGCCAGATGAAGGGAGGGCGAGGAGCGCAGGCGCAGCTGTCTGCCTATCTGTTCGGACCGGGAGCAGCCTGGCGCCTGTTCTGGGATCTGCTGTCGTAAGTTCTGATCCAGACTGACCCCTTACTTCACCTCCCCCACCTCTACCCCAAGCAGACCTCACCCCTCCACAGGTCCCCCTTTCTCTCCCTGTCACTGCTACACGTCCTAATGGTGTTGTGTGCTTGGAAGCCGGAACTTGCCGGACCTGCCCTAGGCTTCCGGAACTCCAGTTGCTACCTCCTGCCTCCTTGCACCCATCTGCTCTCGCTTTCCCTGCAGCTCGGGCCTGCGCTGTCAGGGAAGGTTTCTCCACAAACCCACTCTCTCTCACAGTCACTTTCATCCCCCAGCACACCCAGGAGCTTCGGGGTGTGCCCAGGCCTCCAGGGAGGGAGGAAGGTGCAGGCGGGGCAGGAGCAGGGGGTGGGGGTGGGGATGCTGCAGGGCCCCAGACCTCACTAGCTCCTGACCAGGAAATCAACTGGAGAGGCTGCAACGTCTGGGACCGACAGGGGATCACACTGAGGACAAGACCGGCTAAAAATGCCTAGCCTCTCTGGATCAGTCTAATGGAACCACAACCCTCTGCTGAATATTACAGATAAGATCGAAGGAAGTCAGGAGGGTGGAACATGTGAGAGGTGGAAAGAACCTTATGTCAAGTTTGCTTGAGGACGCATCGATACTGCCACTTTGCTTTAGAAACCTGACCCTGGAGAGAAGTGCTAATTTCATACTTGAGGAGGGATGTGGGTCAAAGGCACCCCGTAAACCCCAAAGGCCTGGGCTGCTCTTCCTTCCCCGCTATCGCTGGGCTCCAGGGGCCAAAGGGTGGGGCCTCAGGGCCACCATTCAGAATGCAGACCCTCTCAAGTTTCAGGGTCCAAAGGGAAGATTCCAGAGGAGTTCAGCCTAGAGCACTGGGCTAAACTAGGCTGAAAGCAGCTAAAGCGCCCACCATCTCCAACTCAAAGAAAAAACTTGAATTCCTGTACCAAGTCTCTTCCAGCCTCCCCCCCCCGCCCTTGTTCGGAAGTGGCCCCCTAGCTCTGCCAGCTTTAGAGCCTGCCCTTCTCCCCCCACTTGGTAATGAACCTTGGAACCAATCGCCTGGAGAAGCACCTGGGCCACGCCCTTCACTATGGACCCCAAAGCAGGGGCCCCAGCAGGGGCAATTACAACAAAACTCGAAGGTGATTCCAACTGCAGGGAGACCCCTGATGAGGGTGATAGGTGGTCCAAAATATAGTAAATGCACCTTCGGGGGAATCTCTCCAAGGCCAGATTTTGTTCACTTTCTCTCATTAATAGCTTGAGTGTTCTCAAACTTTCCCATGCCCCAGAATCATCTAGGTACCTGGCTAGAAAAACGGATTTCTCAGGAACCGAGCCACAGATTCTGTCCCCACTGGTTCAGAATGGGGGCTGGGGACGTGCCTTTCTAGTGCCCGGGTGACTGTGAGGGAGGAAGACATACCCTTTAAGAAACACCGGGCTCTGACAGCACCTTTGGGATGTAGAAAGAATGTCCAACTCAATTTCGGGGTTTTTTTTTCTGGGGTTGGTTTGGTTTTTTGCCCCACAAAGTTACCTTTCAAACTGCACCTAGATTCAAACATACAAGAGACTAAACTGTTTTATCCCTATTTGTGTTTAACCACCTGAATGGAAGTGAGATCTGAATACATGTATACTGTCCACAACCCACTGGCTAAAGAGGAAGACAGCACCTGGGAAGGGTTATGACAAAGTCAGGTCAGAAAAATGGTAAAATCCCCCCCAAATACACACACACACAATCTGTTGGCAAGGAGAGTGTGAACTGAGAGGTGAGGGACAGGTGCCCACAGAGACCTGACAGGGTTAGAAAGAGCTCCAGATGGGTGAAAAGGGGGGCTTCGTGGGCCTCCATTCAGTTCCAGAACTCCTTTACAAGTTGGTCCTGGTTGCTAGCTGCTCCCAGACACCGCAAGTCTCTGTCCCCCCTTGTCCTGCTCCTTCCAATGCACGGCTGCCCTCCACGCCTCAGCTCTGCCCTCCCTGCCCTCCAGCCTGCACTTGCCCTCCACGTCTGCCAGTGACAGTGATGCCGTGGAAGCTGCCTGCTAACCCGCTCCCTGTGGATGGCCACCCAGCGGGCTTCTCAAAAGCAGCTTGTCTGAAACCCAACTCAAAAGCCTACCCCTTCTTAAAAAAAAAATCTCTGCGACCTTGAGGTAGGCAGAGAATTCTTAGAGATACACACATACTGACCAATGAAGATGGAGAAATTGAACTTCATTAAACCAAAAAGTTCCAGCTCATCAAAATACACACTTTCTTAAGACAATGAAAAGTCCACACCACCTTCCTGCCCCAAACCAGCTTTCCCTGCAGGATCCTCTAGTGCAGGTGATGGCAGCCACCCCACCCCACTCCCTACGCCCCAAACACCAAGCAGGTTTCTCCCTGCCCTCCAACCAGAGACACGTTCCGTCCATTCTATCAAGCCCGATCCCCATTACCCTGACCCTCAAAGCCAAATGTAACACCTCCTAACTGGTCCCGCTTCTAAACGCCCACTGTCTGGGCCCCTTACGATGCTGCCAGGGTCCTCTTCCTAACACACACACCCAGTGCTCTTACGTGCCAGCCCCCACTGCACAAGGAAGCCTGAGTTCCTCACTACAACAAGCAGA